TTTTCTACAAAGTTTTGTTATTGTTTTCTATTTATTGCTACTATGATAAAATCCGATCACGAAAAATTCCCAAATTGTAGAAATTAGAATTTTATTAGATCTAATACTAATGACTAGCTACATACAACTCTACTCTAGCCGAACACAACTACTGAAAGACTTCTAGAAAGAACAATCAGATAATCTAATATCTCCTGTTTTTATACTCCTCGTAGTCTTCACATCTACAATCAGCATAGCCGCATTCTAGCATATTTACACATAATCAGCTTATTATTAATCACTATAATTTACAGCAAACCATCATTAATCTAATATAGAAATGATTACAGTATTTTCATAGGCATTATTCCTACACTTAAAGTTCAATGAACTGAGCATATTCTAATATATGATTTACAATACTATTTCTACTTCTAACCTTATTAGTAGCTCAACATCATACTGTATATAGTCATCTGTACTCTAGCACAAAGTCTATCCTTACAGTCTATAAATATGGGCTACTAAATATATCATAAGATAAATATAGAAAAGACTTTACTGTACATCGTCCAAAACATAGCTAATAGTCTACAACCACAATACTAAGTTACTTTACAGCTACGTAACACAGTAAATCATTCTAACAATTTCTGAATAAAAGATATATAGATGTGTTTTGAATATATCGATTATGACACTGGCTTAGAGGACATTTTTTTATGGAAGTTTATTTGAGCGGGAGATATTCTAGTATCTATAATAAAATTTATTTCAGTACTGTAGCTGTAATAAATTCTTCTAACTGTATGTAAGTGTGTTAGGATCTAGTTAGTTCATCGCAATTTAGCTTGTAAAAATAATGTCTACATAAATACTGTAGTAGTTACCATCTTGGATTAAGAGTGGTCTGCCGTAAAATGTTGTTACTTATAATATTTTGATTGTGTGTGAAATGAGGTAGAATGTTGTTATGCAGATAGTAGCAGCAAATGTTACTAATAGTCCGGTATTTAAGCAGGTAGCTTAAGCTTATTCAGTCGTTCTTTCCAGAAGTATTTCTAGCAGTTATATTCGGCTAGAGTTCTGATTTTTTACAAATTTTGGAATTTCATGATCGATTATATCACACTGCATGACAAGAAATCTTACTAAAAGAAATCGTAAAACAGATGAGAAAAATTTATCGATAATCGCTTTCGAGATAGTACCTGATGAATTTTAACCAAAGTCATCTTAAAGCAACGAAATGGACATGATTTGTACTTCCGGCGAATAATCTAATACAAATCTATTGTGCAATAAAAGTTTTTAAGTTTGTAAATTATACTATCGACATCCAAAATCATCTCCAGTTTTGATAAAGAGATACTGCTCTAAACGTTTTATTCTATGTAGCAACTATAGCGTTGATGTAATGCAATCTTAGGATTACGGAATATCGTTATCGCACTGTATTAACATTTATTTACTATATTACATATATATGGAGTTAATAAAAATTTTTCTGTGAGAGAGTACAGCACTGAAAATTCTGGTATATACATGTTACGGTGCTTTGCCGTCGTAAGGTAACTACTTGCAGTAATGAAATACGATCATTAATTATTAATTGAATTTGGATTAACTTTGGTTGTAAATGCACTATTGCACTTCGGGCAGTTGATGAATGTAGTCTTGTATTAAGTAATCTAACTGGTAATTACTTACAGCAATGAAAATTGTGCCGGGCTTCAAGGCTCTAATTGGTTCTTAATTGGTTTATTCTAATTAATGTTGCTTATAAATTTTGCCTACACTGAGTCCTGATATAGATTATAGGATGTAATTTTATTCTAAACGTAGAAAATGGTTAGAGCTCAGTTTGTTAGAATGCACCAGTGGCCGCTCCCAGAGAGTATAAAAGGAGCGAGCACACAACAACTAGTTGTTCCGAAATTCAGTAGTCATAAAGGCTCGTCGAGCGATATAATAAACTTTTTAACTGAATACTTTTCGAGTAATTGATTACCTGTGCGTACCTTGAGTGCACTAGGATATTAGTTACTAGAGGAGTGAACCCTTCACAAAAAGAAAATTGTGACAATACTACCATCTGAAATTACTTGGAAATTGAACTTCTAACATTTTAGTATTCGCTAAGCTTAAATTATTATACGCTTGCTACGGAGTTTTATTACTTGTATGGATCGTCAAATAACTACATCTGCTGACCCAGTCTCAGTATTTGCTCGTAGCTCAAGGTACTCTAATAAAAACTTTATTGATATATTTACGATCTAGTTTCTATATTGTTTGTATTTTCTTCACCAGATTCCAATAGAAAATCTGCACTATCAAACAGCCAACCTAAATAGCAAGCAACAAATTCTAACTGATTTGTTAGCGTTCAAATCTTCATAAGTATCGAATCAAATTTGGGTTCTATATCGCAACTGGCTGATACATAATCCATGTGTAAGACAGTGTAATATTGTATTCTAAGTTGATGATATATTTAGTAATATCTACCGTAGGTGTTGTGTTCAACATGTAATAGATATACTCGTTAGAAGCTTAAGTATTAAATATAGCTAGCTTAGTAGCTGTAATCCTTTTGAAGAGGAGCGCTACAGTGCTCACACTAGAGCTTCACATGAAAGGTGTAAACTAACCTGTATTTGAGATGCTAATACTGAAGTGTGTAATAAGTAAGGTGCTAAGACTGTAAATGCGGAAAGGTATATAAGCGAGTAGTTTAGTATAGTAAGTTAGTTCTTTCTCGTTAGAGGTCCTCAGCTAATCGATTACGTTGTATCTTCGTAAAGGACGTTTTGTTCAATAAATCTTAATTTTCTAAAGTTTTGAAGATTCTTGATCTATCAACCTCACCATGATTTCATGTTTACGGTAGTACTTAACTTTTTATGCTATGACTGTAGCAACCACCACTACGGTGATACACTGATTAACCAACTTCAGTATATAACAAATATTATTACTGAAATAAAGTATAAAAGGCTAAATGGAATTTGCAAAATAATTCTTAACCGCAATTGCTGCAGATTCTATACTTGGTCTATTCCGAATATAAAAATTAAATTGCTAGATTTTAAAGTTCAGAATTAGAAAACATGCTACAACTTTAAAGTATATTTGCACATTGATAATTAACCTGTGATGGTTATCATCAGTAGTTCTAACAATAACTATAACGATGGCTTCAGGCTTCGTTATGCCAAATCATCAATAGAATTGATGTTATTCTGTTATAAAATAGAATATTCTTATTGGATTCGATCTTCCAGTTATAAGCTATTCCGTAATTCTATTCCTTAATATTTATAGTTATGTAGTTGTATTCTTATTCCAATAATTAATTAGTTGGGAACACGAGTACTAGTGAAGATAGTGTTTAAGACCCGGTTTCTTGTTGCAAAGGAGATTAGTAACAGTATGCAATGTTGTTATCTCGTTCTTGAATCGTGTGTGTTGGTAGATTTCCAACTCGTAAGCATCATTGATCCCTTTAATGCCTCTGTTATACTTTTAATGTCTTCCGATATGCACGCGTAATAATAGTTCCAATACCGCTATATCTGAATCGCAACAGCCACTAATCTCCAATTCTATTATCCATTCTAAATATATCACTTTAGTCTTTACCCTACCTCGATTAGTATTAAATATAAGTTTACTAAACCACAATAAAGTTTGGCCTACGAACTTAAGATAAAAACTTTTGCTTTTATTGCAATATTTAAAAAGGTCCGTGTAAGCTAATCTATCATAAATTTAGTTTAACTCTATAATGAGCATTATGCAAAATGGCCGATTTCGCATCCGGATTCGTTTATATCTACCACGTTAAAGGTTCTCAGATAGAACTTTATTATTACTGGAATAATTTAGCCATATCTCACTCATCGATCACTGACAATCTAGTTTTCTATTCACGTCTAATGTTACACATGATCAACAGATTAGAACTAATTATCTAATCCTACGATGACAACACTGCAAATAGCCTTCAATAAGCCTTCTCTTAATTCTACTCTGTTTCTCTAAATTACTTGTTATGCTTTAAGATCTCCAAGTTATTGAATATCAAGTATTGACTATAAACTTATAAATTCATAACAATACTAACAACAGTGAAATTAACCGTCCAAATATTATAATTAATTACGAAAAATCGCAGCATCCAGATTACCATACAAATGATGCTACTACCACCACAACAGCACGGTACACTTAGTGTATAATTATAGCCTATATAGTCTTAATAAGCATATTACTATGCCAACCATAGTGCGATTAAGTCCATCGATAAGCATTTTTAGGCCAAATCAATTGAATTTTAAATGATGTAGAATTGGATTTTAGTCACGTTAATGTAGTAGAAAGATTCCTTAAAACGTACTGAAATTAAAAACGTCTAAAGCTTCTATATTGAAATATTTTAATGCTAATTAAGGGCTGTAGACTGCGAATCGAAATTTTAAAAACAAATCATACGCTTGAGTAGAAAAAAAGATGGCGTCCGCTGAAGAAAGTTCATTGCTTGAATTGAGAGGATTATGTTACTTCTACAAGAACTTGCAACCGTTTCAAAATTTGCTCCGTAACCAGCCAAATAACTTCATGTATCCTATAAACCGGATAAGAAAGCTCATAAATAAGGAAGTACCTAGTATGGATATCGAATAAAATCTACTCTATTTTCAGGTTTAAACAGCATTTAGACTAGGATTTTAGATGTTGCAATTTTTTATTGCACTTTCTATGGCCATGATAGGTTGTATAGTATAGTACTGTAGAACGTCTTCGAGAGCATACGGTAATGTGGTAGTAAGTTGTAGCAAGGACATCGAAAGTTGGGCATTTGTATGATACTGTATAGGCTACTGTGGGATGTTTGAACACTGTCTGAAACGACTGTCGTCGGCTCTCAGCTTGTGCCGTTGGAGACAAACCCACTATTTTAAAGCTGCAGCTGCCAGCAAAGACGCTGCTTGGACTACATAAACCACTGCAACATGGCGAAAAGATCCATTTATTTCTGTGGTAGTATCCGAGGTGGTCGAAATGATGCCCAATTCTATGCCAAAATTATTCAGCATTTAAAGCAATATGGTGATATACTGACAGAACATGTTGGCCATTGCGGACCTGAAGGTAGATCAAAACAACTGATCCAGTTGTGTGATAGTGATGCATAAATCACATCAAATAAACTACTTTCATTGGCAAGATGAAGCATGCTTTCAGTTATCAAATCAATAATTTCAAGGAAATCACTGTTAAAATATCTTAATGTGCAAATGAAAGGTGATGCGTATGTACTAGTATCAATTAGATGTTCTTGATTGCTATAATAGGAGAGGAAGGCCTTGATGATAAAACTATCCATGATCGCGATCTAGCTTGGCTGCTACAATCGGATGGTAGGATATTCCATAGAATGACATAAGATTTCATAATGTTCATAGCATCAATCAATATAAAATATCTGATGCATCGGATTATATCAAGACTAATTTGAATAAATGCTGTAAAATGCATTTCTCTTAGCGTACTAAAACGATGCATATTTTACAGTGATTGTTGCAGAAGTAACGCAACCATCGTTAGGTGTCGGCTACGAACTTGGCAGAGCAATCGCTGCTGATAAACTAGTTTTATGCCTATTTCGACCAGATTCAGGACGTCGTAAGTAGCCACTATTATTAAACTACCTACCTGTTTACAACAGATTCTATGTCCTGGAACGTTTTATCTTGAAAATGTACCCTTTATATGTAACTTGATGTTGCATACTATTTGTTTCAAGTACTGATCAAGAAAATATCGTCTGCATTGATATACGCATGTAGGTCTATCCGGAATGATTCGTGGAGCAATTAACAGTGTAAACTTTTTCGTCGAGGATTATCATCAAGATGAATATGCCAGTAAAATCGACCAGTTTTTCACCGTTCGTGTGACTCGGCCATAATTCTGTACTGGCCATCATGACGATATCTGCAACACTATTGGAAGAATAGAATTTATCTTTGGTTATTCATTGCAATCTAGTAAAAGGAGTACGCGAAATTGCAAAGATATCTGTTGCAAACTCTCCATTTTTTTTATCCTTTACCGTCTAACATTATAAACTTTTCAACCTATTTAGGATATAGAGACCCTTAACCAAGAACTTATTTAAATTCTAGATATATCCAGCAACGGTGTATCAACAACATTAAAATATTTAATTCTATGAATAAGTCTCAATACTTTCCCCAGTGAACTCTATCCTAAATTTGCAAACATTAGAGTTGGATTTAGCATTCTTTAACACTGTCGTAATTTGTTCTAATTTATTAGTCACGTTAGGAAGCAAGACTTAGTGTAAATATTTCTTGTCTTCTTTATCCTGCATAATCTCTCAAACTAATAATCCCTCCAAGATTTCTATTTCGAAAAACTATTTGATCCTCTGCTTACTTCTTATTCTTTCCGAGTGAATTTAAAATAATTTGCGCTTAAATTGAAGGACTGGAATAGACCCACGATTTGTAGTGTCTCTAGTAAACCTAAAAATATTACACGCAATGATATTAGTACATTCTTCATGAATCATTCGATGATAGGATATCGACTATGTTGCTATACAATACATGCGTACCCCTTACAACGACGTATTTTACGGTATATTTTCCTGCGATCATTCTCTTCTGCTAGATTGAATTCATGATCATATTGCTTAGCTTAAATGAAATGACTATTTTACCTTTTTAATCACTGCTATCGTTGTTTAAGTAGGTATGCCTGTAATTCGATGTTAATACCGATTAAAATCCTTATATAGAGTGTTGAGGATTACCTAGTTGTAATGGATTATCAAAATGTATTTAAACGAAGTGAATGAGTATCATTGTGTTATGTGTCCACCAGTTGCTTATTAATAAACTTAAAATAGGCGATTGTACTTAATACGAGCATCTTCAAAGAAAGATTCTACATTAGTGTATACTGTATATCCTTGGCTGCTAATTGATATTATAACACGGTTGGCATCAATCATCACTCTCTACTGCAGCTGTTGTTTGCATGTTGATATGATGTTTGATAATTTATTAACTTTATCCCTTAGACTAATTTGCTAAAGTTGCACACGATACTTTATTTTAGCTCGGCATGCCTTGGGGGTTAGCAGTCGTATATGTGAATTTTCATCAGCTACAGTACATGAAGGACGATAGTAGCATATTAAAAGTGATAGAAATTGTAGTCAAGTAACAGTATATCTGCATAATTGCTTCGTTAAAAATTTATACCTCAAGAATACATACGCTGCAAAAAATCTATCCAAATATTTACTGAATTCTGCTTTCGACTTACATAAAATACTTAATATTCCGATAAACAATTTAATGAATTAAAATTTTTTTACACCATGAATACCCGGGGTATGCAAACTTTTAAATTATAAATTAGTTAACGACTAGTACCAATTATAAGCAATATTTTCATACAACATTATTCAGAGAAGAAATCCGAATTACATATTTGTGTAAATAATTTTGATCAATAGATAATTAAGACTATGCCAGTAATGCCTTCAAGATATTTGATAACTTGAAGATTTTGGTATTCATTTCCAGAGTCAAGAAGGCCAGCAAATATGGTTTAATGCCCCGTAGTTTATTAATTGAGATTATACAGCGTATACCAAGACAGTAAGATTTATACAGTTGTTTACAAATTAAATTTGCAAAAGTGCAGTAAAACTACGAAATTGCGCTACTGCTAATGCCCGCAGCACTCTATAATTATAATTACTAATGATAGAGAAAACTACAACAGCTTGGGTAAATTCTCTTCACTTGTGCATATTCAATAAATACTCGTAACTAGCGAGATATTTAGATCGCTCGTGTTTGAAATACTTTCAAATCAATTGATATCATTTACTATCGTAGTGTAGCTTATTATACGTATTATCTTAAATTTTTATAGCCCTGCGCTAATCAGTGTATCACTTAAACGCTACTTTACACATATTAAAACCAGCTGATATCCTCCAAAAGGAAAGACTAATGCATTTTATGTTGGCCAGTGATAAGATACAGTAAAACGCCGTGTAAGTTTTATAACTTAAATGAAGTGAAATATAGTAGAAACAATTAAAATTGCGTAGCAAGAATACTATAACAAATCATTAATGATCGGATCAGTGCTATGGTTTGCCTTATTCGACTCGATCAATAATAGCATACCGATCTCTATTCATGTTGCTCACGATGAACGAAGACTGTTGACAATTCCATTTCATGTACCACATATCAAGATGAGAAAGTGGTAGAACACGGCATAATTGTAGTGTTTGTGCTTCATAAATATGAATATGTAAAGAATTATCTTCTAAGACTATTAAAAACTTGTCAGACCACAAATTTTCGCAGTTGAAGATAGATGTATCAAAGTCAAATTTTACAATATTATTTTTATAACGTTTCATTTTAACTCTTCCCCAGCCATTTAATATCTAAGATTATGAAATGAAAAAAGTGAGTACAATACTAAAGATTTTAATACAGTCTCATTGACTTACTGCTAAATGTTCTCCCTTTTCGAGCAAGCAGATATATTGGTATTTCCAAAGGCTTCCTGCGTGCGTCATCTATAAGACATTAAATTTAATTCAATTTTTCAAACATCCATTACTAAAGCACCATTGCATGACCCTAATCTGTTACTATCCAGTTATAACTATCGATATTGCTATACTCTATGCCATAGTTAAAATTATGACTAACAAGTAAATTGCCATCTTTCTCTCCCCATTCTTCAAGTAGCTTTCCTGTGTCCAAATTTAACGACGAGTATTTAATGTCCAACTTATAATGGCTTAAATTAGTAGGTAGAGTTAACTTATAAATTAATCCATGCTGACTATCGAATGAACATCTTTCCAGCAGCTGTATCTGACTTTTACCATCACCAAACTTGTAGCACTACAGCAAAAATTGAAATTATAAATAAAATTCTTAAGTATTTATAAATCTTACAATCATAATAATCTCAATAAATTAGGGTATAAATAAACTACATTACATATATTTATGCAATTGAATGTTTATTTCGAAAGCATTTCAAAAATGTGTCTTATTAGTCACTGCAAAGGATGGTACAGTAAGTTTATGGAGTAAACTGATTCTATTAGTAATTTTACATTACTTTGATACTGTGTTCGTGATCGAGTTCATCTTTCATTCTTTCCTTCCTCTAATTGATGAGAAAATAATGGCTTATTGTAAAGTATTCATCAAGGAAGAAATGCTATCATTGGCAACTACCTCTGTCTGGCAAGTTACGAGGTAATCATCATCGTAATACAAAAGGTCCATACTTCGATAACGACTTTCTTCTTGGTAAATCATTTTCTCTTCCGTCTCCAGATTTATCGTAATTATTATCATTCCCAGTCCACCGCCATCACCCTAAATTGAATTAAACTACTAAGTTAACAAATATGAATCTATCTACAGACTTTTTAACATGGAAACTGTAAGTTAAGTTGCAATACTTATATAGAATGAAGTAAACAAGGCAACGATATCTTTATAACAGGAAATTAATTCAGTCATACCTTAGTGCTCACGACGAATATTAAAGTGTTATCTCTTCCCCTATATCTCGTTTTTAAATCGAAAATCCGACCTCTTAATGATATATTATGGTCTAGTAATTTCTTAATTTCTGTACGATCCTTTTCACTGCAAAAGTCGATGATCTACAGCCAAATCATAAGATATTTTGAAATAGCATTCATTGCACGATTTAATCAATATCAATTGTTATTGATTCTTCCCTGAAATTGGTCTATTTTAATAAACAATAATTTAGGCATTTCTACACTGTATTAACTAATATAATTACCTCTGCAATGACCATGTTTAAGCCTAAATTTTGACGATAGAAACGAACAACGACGGCTGATCGGAAATCATTATATAAGAAACATCGATAATAACCGTTCTCTAATGAGTGATAGAACTTTCGTACGCATAATTTTGCTTCATATTCGCGAATCTGCTCGAGTTTTAGTCAAGTTATCGTACATTTAATGTTTGAAAGAATAAGATTTGATATATTCTAAAAGATGACACTTTACCTCCAGTTTGCAAGTAGTGTCATTCTCTATCAGCTGAGCCACGAAAGGAACACCATTAATATAGGCATAATTTACATCCAGTATTTGTGTCTCAACGCGTTGACTTTCTTCTTGTGTAAGGTAGTCTTGGATTGCTTTATTATTTTGAAAATTTTGCCAACGCAAATTATCGTCTACAGTTTGATTGAGAATGTACGGTGAGAATAATAAACTGGAATAGCAGTCGCTAATTTAGCTCAAATAAAGACAAGCTACCTTGCAGATTATATTCATACAAGCAATTTTCGCTAGATGACTCATAAACAAATAATACAGCGGTATCAGGCATGAATGTCAAACTTTTTGCATGCGCCATATTGATCTTCATATACGATCGAATTTGATTATTTCTAATGGTCATTAAGTAGATCTATAAATATTGATATTACGAGTCGAGTAAATCAGTATATGATTATGTTGATAAATTTAAAACGTATTAGGAAAGACGTCGTGGTTATAAAAATTTACATTTAACTTACATTTTCGTCCGAGGATTTGACACAATTAATGGCTACAAACTGCTGGTCATCTGATATGGTAATATTTGCAACACTAGATGAATGTGACAGATCGAGTGTAAGTCGAAAGTTCTTCGCAAATCCTTTTCGGCAGATTTCAGGATCATGATCTTTTCTTTCCAAATTGACCAAACCAACAATATTCTTATAGGCTAAAATCATAAGAGCAGCATCATTGCTAATGGAATTTACACAAACTAGGGGTTGGCCGCCTTCGATATTAGTGGTAGCAGTATATTGATTACAAGTTCTACCAATATAAGCAGGCACAGTTACTGATCGTAGAAGGTGCCACGCTTTCAGACTCCAGACCTTCATAAAGTATTATCAAATAATATTAGGCTATTAACTTATGGCCTTGCATTTCTGTTTGAGAAAAAACTGAACATACTTCTATGTTACATTCATTAATCCAATTATTCACATCCAAAGGTTTATAATTGTCGCGATGCTTGTCAAAATTATACCTTCTCCACCATAATAAAATTTGGCTACCACATTTTATCCATAGACATGATTCAATCTTGTAATTGTATGATACTAGTTTGTTTTCAGATTTTATTTCTCTGTCATCAGTAATTCTCCAAAGCTATATCCAGAATATATCAGTATACTATTTAAGCGCAAAAAATTTGAATGAAAATGATTCAATTACTCTACTTAAATTCAATGCACAATTAATACTTTACCTTAACTAGGCAGCGATTACTGGATACGGTTATCATAACAGAATTATTCTTCATGTTAGGACAAAATTGTATAGAAGAGAAATCCAAATTTTGTGCTCTTCATCATTTTCTATAAATGGCAATTGCTTATTGCTGTTTATGTTGTAAACTTTCCATTTATGTGCAGACATCCCAATCTTAAAAGGTAAATAAACGAATTTTGTCAATTTTAAAATGAGGTATCTTTAACGTGTTTATAGTATCGTTCAAATATAAGAGAATAAAGTATTCCAAATATTTAAAAGTAACAATTTGAAATGTAAATGAATTAATTTTTAGCTTTGCTCTAAACAAATAGAGACATAAGATCGCTATATCAGTAATTTTTTTCAGAAGCACTGCATCTATGACCAAGATCAGTTGCTGAAATTACAACAAACAATTTTGTTGCTTGAAGGTGCAGTTACTCTGATCTCTATTGAAAATACTCTGCTAAATTTATCGTTAAAATCATCAAAAATTCATTCTAACCTTGTCATCGCGATACCGAAAGGCTATAATGCAACCATCAGCTGAGATTTCAACGCTTGAAATATAGCGATAAGATGGAGACATTTGATATACAATATGTGATGTTTGATGATCTTTAACCTGTTATTGAAAAGCTATAGCTCATACATATTTCTAGCTAAAAGTTTACGAGTACTGATTTTGCAACGCCGTTTCATTACATTTGATTTAATTTAGCGAACATACTATAATTTGACAGTCTGTAGTTCCATTATTTTCGGTTCCAACGATTCGCCAATTTCCAGAATTAGGATTAGATATGGATATAGAATCGTCTCGAAAATTCTTACCAAATCTTTTTGATGCATTGTATGTATATTCGGTCACTGTATTACCAGAGATTCTATGGCCAATTGTGTAGCAGGTTATTAAAATTAAAAAAAGGAACTGCGAGACAAATATAAAAATCGCTTCTATCTTTTATAGTAAACTCACAAGAACATAATCCAGTAGACAGAGTCATCAGTTTGTGTATTTATACGAGCTAATTGCACCGCTCGCTCTCTCATCATGCTATCTCTCTCTCCATACCAGAGTAAAGTTTGTATTACATCCATATCATATTTGTCTATTGAAAATTCGTGTTGTTTTAATAAATCCAGTAGTTGATTGAATTCGTGCCAGTCCTTATTTTATCACAGAATAACAAAAATATAGATATATTTAATAATAACTTAATCTAAAATTAATAACTACTGTAAATAGCTAACCTAATGGGCAATAATTGAACCTTTAATATTCAAGGGTATGTATTCAATCAAAAAATACCTTATTTCCCTTTCGTAAATAGTCGATATAATTATTAACATCTTGGCTTAGGTTATATATCGTATCATCCGTTCTGATTTTTATCATCATCCAGTTAAAATCAGTCATAACTTGATGTAGAATATCATCAGCTTCAGCCTGTATGACATGATAAATCAAATATTGATAGAAATAGCCATCATCCTTATAACTTGACCAGTTTCCTCCACATCCGGCAAAGTAACCATCAATTAATTCTTTATTTAAAGATTTATGATATTCTTGACGTGATAAATTAGAAATGGTTGATTGCTGAAGATACTGAATCATTAGATCATGCAAGACAACGTAACGTCTATATGAGGATAAACCGAAAAAAAATACGGAAAGACTTGTTATTTGAATTTAATATTCACTTGTTAAACTGTTCATCTAACCAAATTAGCTGAAACAATATAACCTTATACTATACATTTCATGCAAAGCCTTAGCACACACTGCATCATTTTTAACACTTTATACATTTACAGTATCAAAACAAATTTGTAAGAAGTAGATTACTATTATAACAAATACTATTAGCATAGTCAACTGTTAATAGCACTATTTCAAATTCGTTACATTTCTCTTTTATTGCCTTACCTCTTTCCTCCTGAATATTTTAGTAACGATCTACGATTCAACATCTTTAGCAGCTCGATTCCTTTCGTTATCTCAATTTTCCACAAACAAATAACAGATGCAAGTGGAATTTCTACGGCTCTAAATACTCCAAGTAGCCGAAATAAACTCTTTTCACTATCATTTAATTTGCTCACACTTAAATCCAATGTGTTAAATACATTTAGCTCGTAGTCCGGTAAATCGTTCATTAAGTCTTTGCTGCAAATTCTTTTCCTTATTTCTTCCCATTCTTCATCACTTTGTAGATCTAAGCCGGCAATGATACTTATAGCTAAAGGTAGAGCAGCACAGCTTTTAATGACATTTTTAACTGTATCACTATTTAAAAATGTCTGATGGCAATCGTATTCGCGTCGTTTTGCTATTAATGCCATAGCTTCATCGTCCGTAAATTGTTCCTACAATAGTCAACAACTAATATTATAGCAATCTCTCAACATCAGTAATAATAAAACTGATATAGTAGTAAACATATAATAGTAAGCATTCAAAGTCAAAACAGCGCGGTAAATGAGCTAGCGTATAAGCGATGTATAATATGTATTATATTTACTATCGATATACCAAATAATTGAGATATAATGTCAGTTTTCTGAGTTTTACAGTTGTTCTGAGATTTTTAAACCTATATCAACTGCATGTTCTGGACAAGCTACAGCAATGCATACACTTACGCTTTGCATTATATTAAGCATTTAAGTAAAAATACAGGTGATATATATCATAGAAAATTCGTGTCTATGCCTATTCCATGCTTCAGAAAATTTAAATTCTTTTCTGCGCATTATTGGAGAAATTATTTTATTTCTCAATCTACAATGAATATCAATCTTATCAATTTAGTATTAAATTTAGATTTGTAAAATGTAAAAAGTAAATCTAACCCGTGTAGGGATGAGGATGTGGCTGATTTTGTTTCTGGCATAATTAAATCTTGACGTTGCAACAGATTTTTTAGCGAATGCTACATAATCGTAGTGTCGCTCATTCCAGATATCATCAAATATGAATAATGTTCTCGCTATTTCGGAGTTATCTAGAAAAAATTTTATTGATATATTTATCAGCAGATAATAATACAGGATCAATGATTCTACTACTACCTGTTATTAGAGTAAACTATATATACAATGAAGACTATATCAAGCATAAACCTTGCAAGAAACGATCGATTTTGGCGCTAATTTCATCCAATGTTTGAGGTGATTGCACCCAGACGATTCCAAGACGAACACTCAAATTCTTTAGTATCGACAATAGCTTCTCATCAGAAATATTACCTAGATTAAAATGAAAGAATAACCTACGATATGCTGTATAATCAATAAGTCTAATCAGCATAGTAATCGATTATTACTTGTCAATTGTAACTCCTGCTAATATTTTATCGAATTCGTTTGATATTGTTCCTATGTGCTTTTGTCATCATTTCGTGTAATTATAATGATTTAATATTCATTAAACTACATTTCATACCAATTTTAATCCAATAACAGCCGTGTGGTTTAAAATAATTATCAGCTTCGATGCTACGTCGAACAGATTGGCAAACAGCAACACTTTTACCACTGCCGGCCATTCCATGCACTAAAATATGACCGCTGTTTTCATGAATTCTCTTCAGTTCACTACAGATAGTGTTAACAAATTCGTTCCGAGTGATATAATCGGATTCGGGAATTATGGGAAGATTTCTTAACAAATTTTCTTATCATTTCCGATATACAACACATATTTAGAAAACAGAATTATAAAGTGTTTATTAAATCTAATTGGTGAGAAATCAGAGGTGATTTTATTTTAATTAGAATCAAATGCTTATTGTAAAGACAAACAACTAAGACGGAAAGAGGCTTGTAATTAATTTTTATTCAATATTGCAAGCCTGGTATAACTTTAAAATGATTCAAATTGTGAGCCAGCTTACCATCTTGAATTGCATGCTCTTCTCCTCCAGTATCGAAATAAAAATAGACATAATATCGTTAAATTTGCTTAATATTTATATATTTAAATTATCCTAATAAGTTAGAACACGACTCTTAATTAAATGTTGTTAGTATACAAAGTAAATTTAATTAGTACACTGTGCCTTTGAAGATCGACAGGTTTCATAAATGTAACGTGGCACGAGAGTATTTAAAGTAACTAATTTACCATCATCACAAATTTTTGTAGCCTTTGCTTCATTTTCCAATTTTTGGCCAATATTTTGAACATGCTGAACCTGAGCTTCTTTTAAAATGGAGCAAAACTGAAAAAAATTCTCATCATTTCTTGATTTCAATAGCTGAATAAATTCGAATGCCCGCTGTTTATTATTGTCGCATTTGTCTCTTAATTTGACCAGCTCATCGTCTGATATGATCATTTCACTATTTAAATCATATATTAAATCTAACAGTGGAACATCATTGCTGATGATTCGACGATTTTTATTAATAACATCAGTGATGTATTGGCTCAAAACCATTTTGGATCAAATTGCTGTATAAAGTCGCACGATCTAGTTTAAGATACAATAGCCAAATACGGTTGTTAGCATTAGCACAACTATTGAAGTTAAAATCCAAAACGAAGCTAAAGTAGCAACTCGAACTTTGAAAGTTGTACACTTGCAATTTCGTTAATTAAGTAACTAACGGCGATACTAAAAGGCTTGATCAGAACAGGATAAAAAAAAATTTCGAATTAGATTATAACTAGGGCTTTAAGAAAATTCTTGCTAGCTCCAAATTTATCGTCAAAATAAAAGCTTATGTTGCAATCTCAGCTTGAAATATTGTTCAATTACGAAGATTACTAACTGAAGGACAAAAAGAGTTCTATAGTATTGATGCATAACGAATAATTTATGCGAACTCTGATAGAAATGGAACCTGTACGAAAGTTACAACTTTAAAAACTGTACGCAATATTATAGTCGCTTCGATTGGAAAGTAAAAAAGCAAAACATTTGAACTACATCTTATCATGTTTAGTTATATTTGAACTTACCTAAGAAGGATGGTTATGCCGAAAATTTTACTTTAAATGTTGACATTGCACAATTAATTTAACTTGAAAGACCTCAAATAAGTATCAGCATTGCTGAAACAGTATCTTTTGATAAAGTACAGTAAAGCTGTCCATTGGAGATTAATACCTACATTTAGCCATCTTGAAGGTGATACCAGGCAAGCTAGTAATGAGATGCAGCTCTGTAAACAATGATATTATTAATAGATCTCATAATAGTGCCGCATCCACTGGCCAGTATAGCTACAGATGTGTTTTAATTAATTAAAATAGTAGCTAATGTCCGGACGTCCAACTTTTCCGTTACCAAACTATGAAGGAGATACTAGATTATTTAGCATTTTGCATTTGTTGTGGAAATATTTCCACAGTAGTAAGAGTAATTGGTCTTTATGAGCGTCTCTGAATGTATGCAATTAAATCCAAAGCAGTTTTCGCATGTCAGTAAGACTTGCTCATAGTTAGATGGATTGTAGTTCCTATGTTCAATAATAGCAAAATATTAATCTTAACAATATCGAAAAATCGAAAGTTTCAATCTGCCTACCTAGGCTAACTTTTATGGCTGGCTCTTACGAGGCGTTGAAATATGGTTGGTTATACGACTTCCATTTATAGCATTGGCTGTAAAATTATGCTTACTAAATTTGCTCTGGATATAGTAATTTCAGTTTAAGATCGATATAAAATTGTAAACATTTTTAACTAGTAATTTTACCCCATAGTTGCCGATATAAATAATTTAATAATAATACCGTAACAATTATGATTAAACCGATACCAAATAATGTGAAATTAATGGCCAAAGAGGATGTACTTAACGCCTCTAAGACTATAAGCTCGTCGTAAACAATTTCATAGGATAGTAAAGAGAAGTAATAGTCGTTAGAGTTGTCAATCTGAAAGAGGACGAAGTATGTAAAGAAATCTATGTTGAGAACGGTATGTGTAGTCTAGCCGCAGTATTGGAATGAAATTGAGCATGCAGGCTTATCATATAAAAAATGGAAATAATTAACTAGATAGCATTCAAAATTTATCAAACCACTTTCAATTGTATTAAATGTATAATTACTATATGGTAAAGATCACTAAAATTTTTCCGACACTTACGTAGGATATGGTTTATTTTTATACTGATGACCGATTACAAGCGGTGTGGATCTTGTTGAGGCAAATGAGTTAGCTGAAATTATCTCGAGATGCTTGATTACATTAAAACAGGACAGTATATGATATATTATTAACATTGCTAGCACTTTGCAATACACCCCGCGTGTTAGTCATTATACTAAATCACTTCTTACATGCGCTTTTAATATGCAAACTGATTTCTCAAAGTAAATATAACTATTTATTACATCTTTTATGTATTATTTATCATTTCAATTTGTCAAAACCATATCGCATTGCTATACTAATTACTATATCTAATAAAATCTTTTCGCTTTATTAATAAAATTCGAAGATTTATTTAGGTATCAATTTGATTTCTATTAACGACACTTATTAACGCAAGTCAATTTACGTAAAGCAAACTTAATGGACGGGTATGCATGTTTAAATTTCTTAAGGGGGCCAATAAGAACTATTCGCAAGTTAGTTTTATTGAATATGTTCAATAATAATATATAAATCTCTTTCATGATTGTTAACAATGAGCGACGACTGTTGATAATTCCATAATTCAAGCTAATTATTGGAAAATTTATAAATGTTAGTTTCCGATACATCTGTAATGTTTTTGCATTATAAATGCCAATGCATGATTCGTCTTCATAAATTGCTTAGAGAAATTGATCTGACCCTAGATTTTCATAGCTGAAGCTATAGGTACCACAGTGCAGTTTTAAAGTATTATTTTGGCAGCATTTGATTAAAACTTCCGCATAGGAATAGATTAGGGTAGTGACTTGAAAATTGGACATTGAGAATATCTACATTGAAGAGTTTGAGCTGCGAAGATTATATTAGGTAGCATCATTTTCTTACTGCTAAATGTTCTCCTTTTTCAATCAATAACACGTTACCACCAATATATTCTCTGAGCTCTATCTACAGTTTAGTAATTTAGTAGATTGTATTAGCTTTAATTCTACTACTAATTTCATTCACTCTTCGTCATCAAAACAAATTTATTGGCTGCACTTTTTTATGGTCATTAGTTAAAAGTAGGCCTTACAAGTAGACTGCCATCTTTCTCTCCCCATTTACTATATATAGTCATCTGTGCCTTAGCATAGAATCTTTTACTACAATCTATGGTTATGAACTACTAAATATGTCTTAAGAGGTGAAGATTCTGTTTATTAAGTAGTTACGTGTTTTGCTAGTAGAAATTATAGAACCTAATTGTAGACTTGATTTGTGTGAATGTCTGTGTTTAGCCCTGATTTATATCAGATATTATAATTTTTATAGACTTTGAGACTTAAAAATTTTAGCAGACTAACGTTTGCTATATCCGGATAAAAATTTGTAACACAGAGATAAACAACGGTACTTTATAAATAGATTCGAATATTGCTAGGGGGAGGAAGAAGTCTAGAAACCTAAAGGTATAAGAGAAAAACCCATTGATAGTAGGAGAAGATAGTAATCATTAAAATATTTTAATCCAATCATTTATTACGTAGAGAAATAAAGCTGCCTTGTATAAGCAGCCGAACAGTCTTCTAGATTATTGTGAAATTGGAACCCGGCTAGTTTAGTCAAGCAGAATCGAGTTCTTTACAATTAGCTAGACAGCTAATTATGTAAGAGCTTCAAGGTTAGATTGTGTTGTAATCATGATTAATCTCGTATTATATACGATCTCTAACATGGTTTAAAGTACAACATAATTTATATTAATTTAGATCTAAGTGTAACGACAGCTAATATTATTTTATTAGTATAAACTTCCAGGTTTAGATTTGTTGTAGCTGCTCATGAATATATAGAAGGTACTCGTATTAAAGCGAGTTACTTTTACAATAAAGAGATTTCAACTTTGATTTTGGTGAAAACTAGAATCTGTGCTTAACTACTACTGGAAGCAGTTTCTGTGTTCCAAAAGTGATTATAACATCTTTACGATATTAATTTAATGCTCTAAACTTCTAGATTGTCAAGGCCTTTTCTTAGCTTTACAACCACATTTATGACACTAAATCCCTTCTACTAACTGAGTAAACCTTTACTAAGTACGATAAAACACTTACACTGAATAATCAATTTCTAGAACTATGCTTCCGACAAGGAACATTAGCTTCTCGGGGTTAGGAACTACGCTTCCGTGTCCGATTTTGGATTAACCCTTTGCGCCAGTAGATGGATAAAGGTTTTCGCCAAGACAATTATCTGAAGGCTTTGTACACATCTAAGATATTTTTAATTGACAGTAAATCTCAACCCCTGTAATCTAATATACTGTAGTAATTTAATAAAACAACTATATTATAAATCGTGCTAACGTAAATAACTCTCTAATGCAAAGATAAGTACAGTGTAGTGTTTACTTCTAAATACTATATAGTCTATTCTTAGTATTTGTTAATTTCCACTAGAATGTAGCATAACTCCTTCCTTGTATAATTATATTTAACAATTCACGCTGTGGAAATCTGATTATACTCTAGTCTGATTGAATCGTAGAATTACTCTAATATAGAACTAAGGTATTCTTATTAGTCATTTGTGTTTTATAAATGATTCTTCCTGTGCTTTTTAAATTGTAAAAGCTACCATCTTGCATCTATCTCGTTAGTTAGTAACTAAAAAGTTAAGCAATAATATATTTCTATCATGCTTTTACATTTCGGATATGAAGCTGAAGTAAGTAACCACATATGGTGTAGATTCACGAAAAGTAATCAACAGCAACGTAAATAGAACCGAAGTGGCTACTAGAATCGCCATCAGTATTCAATCAGTTAGTAGAAAATTACATATCCTACTTGCTCTTGAAAATAGCTTTTATCACTAATAAGATAAGCTACAGTACAGTAGCTCATTAACAATTAAGAGCAGAAACAGGAAATTGCAATTGGTTGATTTTTAACACATGATTTATTTATCATTGTAATGAAATATTAATGTTTGCATATTCAAACAAGAGTTGGTGGAAAGAGAAATCGAAAGTAGGCATGAATTACAATATATCTAACAAATCAACACGAATTTCGTAGTGTGTTCCACCCCATGGACTAACAGCATTATTCTAACACTTATAATAGACTAGGGAATATCCCTAAGCAATTTAGTAAGGTAGCTTATTTATTGGTTTGCATTAATTATATTTATTGATGGGGAAATATTAAGTAGAGTAAGATAATTAAAAGTCGACATCGAAAATTAGAATATACCGTACATGATGTGAAGTGTAAAGACTACGGTACTAAGACCTATTTTTTGGTATGAAATATAATAGAGATTATTATGTTATAGATGCTGTTGTACAAGCAATATCATCTAGGAATAGTTAGAACGGTCTATTATTTGTAGCATTTCGACCTGTTAATATTTACCATTTAATGATAAAAATTGAATAAGACCTTGTTAATTCGAGGAAATCCCTCCCATCTCTCACAAGTCAAAAGAGACAGTATAGAGCAAAAATTCGATCAAATGGCTAGTAATTGTTTATGACCAATAATAATAATGAAATTATTACTTATTGCTTTTTTTGATGCGGTAAAGGACATTAATCTCAGAAGCGTCATTTGAATAACATACTTAAGCCACGATTAAATGATGATCAGTGACTTTAACTGCTACAGTTTCAATATATGACTTTAGTTGCTACAAAGTTGTTTCATCCCATGCATATGTACGCAGAAATGGAAAAGAATAGCATCACGAATCGACTACTATGATTCAACGATATTGAAAACTCGATATCTCAAAGTGTTACGCGAGGATTTTTGCTTATAATACAGTGTACTGTAATTCCAGCTTCTTACTAGATTAAAAGAATGCAGTTCTTATTTATCTATCACTAGGTACAAAAATTGACAACAAACTACGATATTTCACTTTTCAGTTCTGTAGTTGAGCCGAACTAAACGAAAAGCCAAGAACTAATTCTTTCGTTCTTTCTGCTTTTTATGTATCAATCTCATCTTGCAGATTGTATTACCGATATATGATGTAATATATGCGCACGTTTAATATGCTACCAATGCGACACATAGGGCAGATATATTAGCATAAAGTATACTATTAAATCTTTGTATGCGTACGGTCATGTAATATTTTCAAGTATCGATTGCTATCTGTTTAACAATATCTGTATACTTCCGCCTAGTAAAATCGCAGGAATATTAACAAGGATATCCTTTAGCTAATACGTAGGCTACAATATGGTATTGGCTTAGGCAACAGAATTCTAGAATCAATTTAAACTAGATACTCTTCCATCGTTCTGAATGTACACCTGCCGCAGTTTGAGTCTTAGCTTGCAACCCTTCATCCGACTTCGAAGGTAATGGCAATGCTTGGAGTTCCTCCTTTTCCAAGTTTGCAATGACAGAGTAAAAGTTGTTAATAAAGCTGTACAAAAATCACGTACTTTTACGATCGACCTTATTTTTATCATGATATACTGGCAATTTTAAATAAAATTACTTGATTTTTCTTCGGACTGACACTTTTATGTGGAGAATTACTTTTCCCACGAGTTTGCAATTTTGAATTGTTCCCAACATGGCTTGAGAAGACATCGAAGCTGGCACCAGGTATAATTTTAGGAAGTACCATAGCTTCCTTTTTATTCTTAATTTTTTTTTTAGAATCTTCACAAGCATAAGTACGAGTTAACTTGGGTAATTGAGTTTGTGCTCTTCCATTCTTATTCTCTGACTACAGCATAGATATAATCAACGAATTAGTATTAGAAATACAGCCTAATTTTATCATAAATTGAAATACAAACAAAAGCATCACACAAGGCATATTAATTGAAATCGAATATTATAGACGATAGCTTAACTGCACTGCCTTTATCGATTTTGAACGAAATGCTTTACATTAGCAACACTCTTTCGACTATCTCTCATGCCTTACTAAGTTACTATACCTTTGATGAATCACAAACTTTATTTGATCGTTTCAATCTCTTGAGTTTTCGCTACATGTCATGCAAAGTCGTTTATTAATTTAATAGACGTTATTTGAAGCAATTAGAAACGAATATAAACGAGTATCGATTTATTAATGTAGTGATAGACACCACCAACAATTATTTTATTTTTACGCTATTTTATCGAATACAGGTGCTGAATATTAAGTCAAATACTGCTACCTTTTTACGCTTTTTGGGGGGTCTTTTATTTTCACTAAATTCACAGTCGCATAGCCTTTCATCTTTTTCATGCGTCTGCTTACCTTCAGGCACCTGTAACGAAACAAAGATGTATCTCATAAATAACTACCGATATGCTTTTGCTTCAGGGCATCGAAATGAAATTAAACATAATAAAGCTCAAATTCAGCTTTTACAGTACCCGATTAAGTTGATGTCTTTGTATTTCTAATTCAGGTTTAGGAGACTCATTAGCATGTTGCGATGTTCTGCAAGTATCGGTAGTTTTTCTCGTAACATCTGATCCTGCAATAGCACATCCAGTTCCTGAAGACTTTGCATTAGGACATTTGGAAACACTGCATTCACCCAAAATAACTCAAATCAGTATCTAATCCTATACGTATATGCAAGCAATCTAACCTAACATTATGCTAATATTATAGAATTTTTCCAGGATTGGCTGTTCAATCTCTGGTAATTCAGAACTTTGAGGCTTTTATATAGCATTACAAGCTTCGTTGGTGCAAATTATTAACAAATGTATAGCCAAGTCTACATACTGAATATAGTAAGAATCACAACATACTTTCTATGACATTTAGTATCAGTTAATTAATGGCTAGGTGTTAACATACGATTCATTACTCAACAAAATTATATCATTAATGATGCAATAATAAATTAACAGTCACAAGAACATATAAAATATTCGCAGTTCAAAATGGCCGGCCAATCTAAATATATGTTATTTGTAACCGTAATGCAATATTTACCGAATCTCTTCGAAATAGAGACATTGCAGTGCTTCTTTTGCTGAAATTCTAAGTAAACAATCAAAAGTATTAAGTTACAATCATACTAGTAATTGCAAGTTTACTGTTATTAAAACTCAGATTAACCTATTAGCTGGATCATAGCAACATAATTTCGTAATTATTGATACACATTCAACGGATGCATTTGGTAAACAATTTGCAAGTCCTTTACCAACTTGATGATCAAAGTTAAAATTAATTATTTCTAAATCTTCGCATTTTCTAGATAAAAAATAGCTGTTAAGGGAAACATCGATGCCAGCAAACATTTTCTAAAATTACCGGCTTTAGTTACAAATTAGTATAATTATAGTCAATATTGCTTTAAACCATGAGAAAATATCTATCTATCTCTAAGATGGATAGATTTCACTACCATATCAGTAGAGAAATTAATCTATAAATCGATTATAGTCAATCAATAGCGCCGGACAAGATAAAAAAAAATAATTAAATAATTAGCGTACTCCTTAAATTTCGTTAAGACATCATCGGCTGGCGTGCCCAGAATATTATGAATCTTAGTAATTTGATCACCCTCATTTATCCCGAAAAATAGTCGACGTGAGCTAGAAGGAAAGACGGTAAATATGAAATATTGATATAACAAATTCGCTATGATTACTATGGTCTTGGTCATTTTATAAATCGTTGCATTAGCGTAAAACATCACTGATAAAGACTTACGTTATCATTTCAAACATAATGCATCCAATACTCCATTCGTCTACCTTGCATGTATAATAGCCACTGGTTAATAAACATTCAGGAGCACGATACCTAGATGGTAGTTAGATAATAGTAGAAGTAAAGAACATTTTCTAGAGGTGATAGTACTCGTAGAGTAATTCAAACTCAAAATGCACAAATGGATCATTAAATTATAGTTTGAGAATAATCATGAGTATGCTGAAGTTCTCCTTCTATTTTTAGTCTTACCATAGACATGAAGGACGGTCAAGGTAAGGAAGTGGTGAATAACTGCTACGGGAAAATTCAAATCCTGTCAGTTTTACAACACTGCCTTTAACCAGAATATTTTCAGGCTTGATATTATCATGGAAAATATCATTGCTGTAAGCGAAGAAGAAATAAACAAAGCACTCCATAATTATATTAAATGGCATACATCTAGATTTAATAATCGAAAGCAAGATAAAAACGGGATTAAGAAGTAAGGTTGGGTAAGCTTATCAGTAGAATTGATAGTATTCATTTTTCTAGCTTATCCATAAAGAAGAATACATATTTTCAGTTTTTCATACCTATGCATGTATTCGACAGCCTTAAGTAGTTGCCAAACGTAAGAAGTAATTTTATCCTTTGATAACTGATTACTGAAGCCTACTCATTAAGAACAAATAAAAATTATTTACAGAGAGCAACTGCTGCATTAATTTCAAATTAATTTGAACAGTAAGATTATATTCTATTTAGGACATAGTAATAGGTAAAGAACTTAAACAAATGAAATTTTATGTAAGATAGTAACAGAAAACCTTACTGCACAAATAAACGAGACCCAATACTATACAAACCTTTAATTAATTGATCCAAGTTTATTTCTATTAATTCTGTAATTATCCAGGCCGAACCAGTTTCGGTTGCACTATTGCACATTGAAGTTAATATTATTTTTTAATAAAATCAAGGACCTACAACTACCTAAATGACGCAACGTTAGCGCAAAGTACGGTATTCGAAGTTCATTTATTCGTGAAAGATTCTAAAACTACCCTTCTTAGTAGTCGTATGAAATACTAATCAAGAGAGCAGCGTCTAGCATATAATTCCTTAAAGCCACTAGTACAACTTTACAATATATAGTAAAACAAAATTTAAATATTCTTTCAATTACTTTGGAATGCATATACAAACTACAGAACAGAATTACATTAAAACAGATTGAAAGAGGCATCTAATCAAACTTAAACTACTTAACAATTAGAGCTAATATCAAAGCTTTTAGTAACAACTTAACCTATATTTCTTTTAAAATAGGTGTTACACCTTAGAAGTAGACAAACTACTATCAATAATATAGCTATAAAATCTCCATCCTATTAAATATAGAAAACTTTAACTGTACTTATCGTTCAAATAACTAGAGCGAAAATGATAATTTCGTGATATACAGTAAGGCCATTATACCTTGTTCAAGCTGACTAGAGAGATCAGAAGTTATCATAATGCACAGTAGCTATATTGATGAGTAGTGTAGGACTACGGATATCATAAATTATAGTAATCACGGAAGTAGTTACTATTTTGAGTCAAACTACATACAAAATATCGTGGATAAACCTGACTATTAACTTATTGGGCTTTTGATTCCCTCGATGTGATATTGCTTTGACTTGTGTAACATAAATTTAGGTATCATCTTATTTTCCCTGTAAGTATTCAAAATGTGAACTTACTAGAGAACTTGCCGTAACTGAACAACACTCGGATGTCCGGATAATCGCTTTAGCGCTTGAACTTCGACCAAACATTGAAATTTACTGCGACTGTATTTCGTCATAAAGGGAAAGTTGTGGATTTAGAATATTAATGTGATCTAATGTTATTATGTACTGTTTACAGTTAATTAACTAAAATTTTTCACATTAATATGCCCTTCGGTATAAAGAAGGATAACGTACTTAGATTGAAGCTATCGATCAAATGCCATCTTAGTCCTCTTACTAAGAGTATTTAATAATAACAATAATATTAATAGTATTTCCATTAGGCATAGTATGGTTCAGCTACAACTGCATTCATTGAATTCTAAAATTTTATTCTTTATTATCATTTCTGATTAGGGTATATAACAAATATTAAAAGTAATAAGTTTATCATTAGCTACTTAGCTAATAATTGAAAATTGGAGAAGATATTGATAAACTGAATAGAATACTGTTCGTTCAAGATGATAATAGTATATCAATGTTGCGGAGACAAGCTCCGAAATAATAATTACCGAGTTAATTAAAATATCTAATTTAAATTGTTATTTGCTCCAGTAGTTCAATAAATGTTAATCTATTACCCGTTAGTAACTTATTTGTGTAGTCAAGAGTTAGTTCAACTACAAAAGTCTCCTAAGTCAGTTAGGAACATGAGTACTACTGACATTAACATTTAAGACCCATTTACAAAGGCTGAATTGTAACACTCAAGCATATAATTTATATATTTTCACACGGATTAAGAGTACGGTAGTTTAGATATTGATATCACCTGAGAAACAATCCAGTAAATGTAGTCTTTACAATTATCACCTTATAGAATCACATGCCATGGTTTGCATTGTTAGCAATTTTCCCATCTACATTCACAAATTATATTCTTACCTATTGTACCGTTGCTTCATCTTCTTGCATGAATAATGAAACTGTTCTTTAATCAGATAGCATTTACGTAAACCCGGGAAAGCATTTTCGTAATTGCTATTCGATAGTAGTCCATAACCTAGATCGAATAATATAATAAACATAAATTTTCTACATAATAAAGCAAGTATTTGTTAATTTTGCAATTTTTTTGACAAAGCTTATCGCATTCTTCATATCATATCATTTTATTACTTTCACTAATTCAAATATTTGTTATCAATAGTGGTGATAAGTTATTAATATCTTTCCCGATATCTAAGTCTGTAAATAATAAGCCCGATTCAAGTAAATCATTTCCGCATAAGTCATCAAAAATTTTTGTTATATGAAATTATGTAAAAGTTATTGGTATGCCTATGTGTGTAATCTGTTAAGTTGCGATCAAGTTCTACACAATGTCAGTACACTGCAATTATTTTTCATAGTTCAAATCAATATCAAGATGCTTGTTAATAAAGCTACTAACTGAATTAATTCTATTTGCGGTTCTCAATATATCATTCTAAATTTACTTTAACAAATTTATGTCCAATAGAATTCTTTTTCTGTAAAATAGCTGCAAATCTTATAACTGCAGGATAATCTGTTATCAGTATCTCGAATTATACCACATATAAAATTCGCTGTAGTGAAGTAATTCACTCCATTGCATTGCTAAAATAAAGAGCATCTTCTATACTTTATGGAATGATATTGCAATCAATACTAGACTTCAAGTCGTCGGCTTTATGATATGGATACATTCTAATTAGTATACTTTACTTTTAAGTATCATAAGCTAAAAGTACGTCACTGTGGCACATTCTTAAAGAAGAGATGACGAATAAATATAAGATAAATGATGATTTGATTGGATAACTTCAGGGCATATATTACGATAATTATTTGATGATGAATTCTATCAAACTGAGCTACTAACCTTGTTTTTTAAAATATTGGCCTTGATTTGTTTCGATTTGAACATATAAAAGAAATCAAATTGATATGTTAGATTATTTTTGTCCTATTACAACTAGATAAGGGTTAGTAGTACAATGATTTATGCAAGACTTTACGCAGCAGGTTTATCTGTCAATATACATCTACGTAATAACACGTATACATTAATATAAGATTAATAACTTTAAGGTATTCTGACTAATTACTTCAATACATAATGCTTAAATTGTCTGCATGGACTGATATTTCTTGTCCAGAATCGCCTCGAGAAACTTTCATAAGATCACCAATTACTAAATTTTTGTGGTTTATAGCCATAACGTTGACAACCGATAATACGCTTTTATGAAATACTTTACTAAGATGCATCACAAGTTCTTTAAACGATAAATACTGCAATGCAAGTTTACATATGGTTGTATTAAGATATGTAATCATGCTTAGATTAGCGTCAGTATAATGCCCTCAAAATTTGTTTAATACTGGTTTGTTATCTCTATCATAAATATGATAAGACTAGATTTAAAGTAAAGCTATAATATCTGTAATGGTATGCAATATCTACAATTTTTAATACTCAAGACCCTCATATAACTCCCAAACTGTATCGTAAACCTTTACATTCTTCTCTGCAAGTTATGCAACTAACCCATAGGCATACGTTTACTTTAGATGTTACGTATGCTTTCAGATACGCAAACTGATACCGATGTCTGTCATTCAATCATTATCAATAATTTATATTATCTTATAATTACCTCTGGACAATGCATGCTACGTATACATAACAAAGATCATAGTAAGTAGGATGTAGGTACAGTATATCACAAAGTTACTATATCATTAGTTCTGCGAGATAATTAATTGGGAGTTATAAGTAACTTCTAATCAGATATAGAGCAAGATTTGTCTACAATATTCTAACGAATATGCCGATTAATGCAATTGGGAAATAATAATGTGACTTTTGAATATGACTGCATGTCATTTGTGTTTAATAGATCATAAAAGAACAGTTTATTTCACGACTTACTGTCTAATCGATTTTTTGCGGCTATAGCTGTAGTTTCTAGATCTTCACCAATTTCTTTGATGTTATTGATTTCACTATTCTTTAGAATTTCACAAAATGCAAAGAAATCTTCATCGCTTCTCGTTTTTAGAATCTTTATAAACTGACTCATCTGCGCCGTATTCCTTTGAGTATCATTGCTTAATTTATCTATTTGAGTATCTGAAAAGATCGATGCATCGATAAGATCATATTTAATTTCGTCGAAGGCTACGGATCTGCAGAGAAATCGACGCTTATCCTGAATAATTTTCCTCAGGTACTTGCTTAAAATCATTTTAAACCAGGCCACAAGAAGGTAACCCTAGGATAAAATAGAAGATGCTAATAAGCCACAACTTTCATGAAGCTTTATACAAGCCATTAAATGTAATAAACAATATTATACAATAATATTATACATAATTTCAAGGTATTGATAAAATCAGATTTAAAAGGTTACAATGATTTAATCAGACGAATTGCAATGCCTAATTAATTATTAAAAGATGTCAGCAAATCTGCTGAACTCGATGAACAACTACTACAATTTACTTGCGTAACCGATATCTAAATCTAAGCCAAGCTATCTTAAATTGGGTAGAACAATAATATATATAATTCCATGAGACTACTGTAATTTTAAAAAGTAATAAATTAGACTAAAAGGGCAAATGTATCTTTAGTAATGTCATTTCGGATAGGGAATATAAATAATATAATGCGATACATTATCAACGGTCTTGCTTTCGATGTCAATTCGGCATCTATTTTTTTAACTGTGTGAATCAATGTTACAATAAAATTAACAATAAGCTTTAATACTCAGGCTAATGACGTAAACATCGAGACTATGGCGTTGACATAGCTCCCAGAATAAGTGTCTTTATTCGACATGGAACGTCATTAACATTGCCGCCGGCATATTTCAAAAGTAGAAGAATTTGCTCCGTCATGGTTAAAACTATACGTCGATATTCAACGTTATTACAATTATTTTACTCTTACAGGCGTACTAGTATACTGGTTACGGCCAAAATTCGTAATCGGCCATTATGCTTTACTCATAATACCCTGCGAAAGCCCAATAATTTATTGATATTAAGGTATTTCGCACTTGTAAGCCCAAATCAATCATGAAATATTTGATTAATCAGTTTAATACCGAAAATCGTTTTATTGGAGGAAAGCATTTCTCGGATACAAATACAGTATAGCTATTAGCAAATTAAACTTGCAATTTATGGAAATAGGCCGTACATCTTAGAGAGGTTTTGTGTAAGCACAGTATTATGAGAGTGATTGCTAGAAATCATCGATTCCGAAATTTATCGCTAATTACGCGTATAATTAATTATACTACAGGAATATAGCGCAAGCATATTCAAAAATTTGATATACGAACTATATTCTAACACAATTGTGGGTAGTTTATTTTATCGAAAATTCAAGCTTTAATCCTTCATTACTGTATGCAATACTAATTTTATAGCATTCGCCTCTTAAAGTCGTAATATTAGCAGCTGAATTTTAACCACCTGTTTGCTACTTCAACTAAAGGAAGATTAGACCTATGTAATAGCATAAACCATAGCTTTGAAATGTTATAGCTGCTAAAATTATTATATTTGCATAAACTTGCGCAGGCCTTGACAATTATCTGCAAACCATAAATTTGTAGCGCGATAGCTGCTGAAGTTATTTCATTGGCATAAACTAGTGCAGACTTTGACAATTATCAATCACATGATTGAAATCTAAGACAGATAGGCTAATAAAACTGAATAAATCGACTTAAGAGGACATTTTCCAAACTAGGAAATGGTCTAATCAAACGAAAAATAGCTAGTCTTTTGATATATATACAACGTTTCTGTGATTTTACCGCAGCTGTCGATTCTTAATCAATTACAAATATAATTCACCCTCTCCTTTTAGGCTCCTTTTTACGTTTTGAATGGATGCAAATGAAGCAGTGAAATGAAATTTAAAATAGAAAGAAGGCCAATCACCAACTCAAACTGTATGGGCGCTAATTACTGATGAATAAGAAATAAGATAGTGAAAATCTTCGTATATGTAACCTACCAATGGCTATTTAATCTTAATTAGTCAATTAATCTGATCTGTTCAAATCCCCTTATTTTAATTTGTTAATAATATAAATTCAACAGATTACAACGAAGTTTATTAATTATCCCTTTAAATTTATTGCCTTTGCCTTACCTTTGTTAATGGTACACATATAAAATTCGCTCATCCAAAGCATTCAGAATTGACCAAAGTTGGGCAGCAATGCTAATAATAATGATCTCTCGATCCCGCTGTACATCAAAATAAAGTTATCTTAAATTGTAATAGACTAAATAGAAGATAGACTAGCACGTGATCGCCTATCCGGGAATAGCCGCCATCATTAACTTTTATTTTTTGAATTCAAACTTTTAATCGGACAAGTGATCATTTAATCATGACTATCTACAAACAAAGTAAGTCTTGGGTGTGGTAAAGGGATTGTTCTTTGACGATTTGTATCCATTAAAAGTTCACAATTTGTCTTTATACACCTGCGAGCTAATTCAACTAGACAATAGGAAGAAGTATTTATTTTACATGTTCAAAGAAAGAAACCTAATTGCTAACAAAATGATTGGGTAATTAATTCATCTAATTTTCAGAACAGTTGGTAAAACAATATAGTTTTGTATTTAATAATTATTAAGCACGCCGACTACGAATATACTATGGCCGCTTTTCAGACATTGACCGTAGAAACTGAAAATTTACTAGGTTAGAAGTTAGACATCTACTTTATGATTCTTATGCCATTCATCCTTAAGGATTATCCGCTATATACATCATCCCATATTGCCAAGGGCCAATTATTCACAATGCAGCCTGATTGCATGCCGATTTTTGGTATTTACCCTAACCCTTACCCTAACCCTAACCCTAACTCTAACTAAGCAATCACGTGCATGTGCTATAATTTAGAGCACCTAATGGATATCTATGTACGTAAAAGAGCATTAAAATTTGACATAGAGCATGAAGGGTTAGGAAGGTGCGATGGGAGTACTACAATAAGCTTGCATTCTGATAGGTGTTCTA